AAAAAAGAAAGAAAAATGTAGGTTGGGCACAGTGGCTCATGCCTGTAATCCCAGCACTTTGGGAGGCCAAGGTGGGAGGATCACTTGAGGCCAGTTCAAAGCTGCAGTGGCCATGACAGAGTGAGACTCTATCTCTCAAAAAAAAGAAAAAAAAAGCGAAAAATATAATCATTGAAGTAAGAGAATTGGGGAAAAACACTTAAAGAGATAATGGCCCAAAATTTTCCAGCCCTTTTGGGAGAGGGGCTGTGCTGAGCGCTGGGGTGAGGGCAAACCAAGCAGCACAGGACACGGTGTGGGGAGAGGGCCCAGACCTGGGCAGGGTTGGGGGTGGCAGGCAAGAGAGCACAGGAAGCAGCATCCACAGCCGCCAACCCCACCCACACACCCCAGGGGTGCTTACTCCAAGACTGCTGTGTGCGTGATGGGGTGAGCCAGCAAGTGAGCAGAGGACATCCCAATTCTATCATCCCGTGTCCTTAAGAACCAGGAGACCCAGCGACATGTGACAGGTTAGAGGTTAAATAAAACCTCCATGTTCTCAATGAGAACTGGAAACACCAGCATGAACTTGAGTTATTTTATCTTCAAAAATAGTGCCATTATTACCTAGACCGGTACCCTGAAAGGCTTGGGGACAATGACCAGCCCAGGGGGAATGAGCACCCCACCTTTTCTACACAAACTGTACCCCTTGGTAACCAAATCATAGATGAGAGGAAGCATCTCTTAAAAGTGTCCCAGCTAAGCAATGAAAACTCAGTAACAGAAGTCAAACACCACCATTCTGTAATCCCCCAACCAACCAATTAGTTTGGGCGCAAAGCATCAAGGTGAAGGCCAGACACCCTGGACCTCCTCATGAAAGCACACGCACTCTGAGGTCCTGCTGAGGGACCTGAGTCTGTCAGTCCTCTGCATCCAGCTCCCGGCCAGCAGGACACCCAGGACACGAGGGTCATGCAGAATGGCACCATGAACGTGAAATCAGCAAAACCAGGAGGTACATACAACAGATACATTTTAAGAAAAGGAAAGAGTGGAAGGGGAACCTGAAGACTAAGAGATGTAAGACACATGAATTTTCTTAAAAGCAAGACAAAGCCAGGCACAATGGCTGGTGCCTGTGGTCCCAGCTACTTGAGAGGCTGAGGCAGGAGGATCACCTGAGGCCAGGAGATCAAGACCAGTCTGGGCGACAATAGCGAGATCTCTCACCTCCAAAAAAATATTAATAAAAGAAGAAGAAAAGAGAAAGACCAAACCACAGTGCCTAGGGACAAACACTTAGGCAATGAAAGGATAAAGAAATTCCAACACGTGACTACCACAGAAGCCAGAACATTCAGGGAGAAGCCTCTGGGTGCCGGCAACTCGCTACACCTCAACCCGGTTGGTGCTTGCAGTGGGGGCACGTTAGGGTCATCCAGCACAACACTGTTCTCTGAGGCTTTCAGTGTGTGTTTTATTTAGTAATAATAAAAAGGGGAGGGGAAAAAAGATCAAGCAATGGGAGAAGGAAGGTGGACCTGGCCATGCACTAAGAACCCCTCGAGTGCACTGGGACCACAGGTGCGGACTCAGTTACTCTGTTTACTTTTATATATGTATAAATGCTGCATATTTACAAGTTTTTTTTAAATGACCAGCCAGATTTGAAAAGGAACCAAATATAATATTCAAAAGTGAAAAAATGTAATTCTTGAAATAATAAAGAGAACGGGAGAGAGGTAATATTTAAAGAGATAATGACCAAGAATTTTCCAGAAGCGATATGCAGATCTGCAGTTCAGAATCTGCAGACACAGAAGGCAAAATTTACATCAAGTGGGATTAAACAAACCACAAATCCACACCTGGAAAAATCAAACAGAAACTGTAGGGCCCCAAGACAGACCTTAAAAGCAGCCAGAAGAGGTAAAAAATATCACCTACAAAGGAACAACAATTGGAACTACAACGGACTGGGCACAGTGACAATGGAAGCCAGAAGGCAGTGGAACAGCTCTCCAGAGAGCTCAAAGAAAGCAACCATCACTCTTAACATGGATAATTCTTGAGCAATGATAGAACTCAGTTCTCAAAGTCTGTATCTGTATTGGCCAATAAGTATTACAAGTCTCATTAAAAAGATACACTCTAGGCCGGGCGCGGGGGCTCACGCCTGTAATCCTAGCACTCTGGGAGGCTGAGGCGGGTGGATCGCTCAAGGTCAGGAGTTCCAGCCTGAGCAAGAGCGAGACCCCCGTCTCTACCAAAAAATAGAAAAAAATGATCTGGACAACTAAAAATGCATATATAGAGAAAAAAATTAGCCGGGCATGGTGGCGCATGCCTGTAGTCCCAGCTACTCGGGAGGCTGAGGCAGGAGGATCATTTGAGCCCAGGAGTTTGAGGTTGCTGTGAGCTAGGCTGACGCCACGGCACTCACCCTAGCCAGGGCAACAAAGCGAGACTCTGTCTCAAAAAAAAAAAAGATACACTCTAAGATGATTCCGAAAAATTTCCGCTCTAGGTGCCACCTGTGGGAGTGCCCAACTGTTTCGACCCCTCTAGCATAACACTGCGTGCCAGCACTACAGTTCCATGGCTTTGTTTCGCAGTGTTTCACTCTGTGGCCTCCCTTTCTTGCATCCAGCTATCGGAACAGTTTTTAAAATCATCGCTACTGCTTTTCTAGTGCTCGGCACGTGCAGGTGCCACGCAAGCCAAGGAGGCACTGCCACCCCACACGGGTGAGGGTGGCGTGGCCCAGGAGGTGAAGAACTCCCCAGGCACACAGCCAGCGAGCAGCAGAGCGTGAATCCAAACCCTCGGAACACGCGTGAGAAATGGTTCTCACGACACAAAAGCCCTTTTGCAGGCTGGAGGCAAGATGAACCTTGACCACTCTGGAAATGGATATAAACAACAATGAAAGCCTCAATCTAATTCAGGGGTAAGCGAATGGTAGGTGCACGATAAATCTTTGCTGAAAAACAAATAAGTGAATGGTATAATTGCATATTTTTTCCCTAGATATACTAACCTGTGAACCTAAAAATGACCAAATTGCCAAACAGCCTCTAATTCTGGCTGGTAACAGGCAGATGGCCAACTGCCAGCAGGGCCACCCCAGCCCTCAGCCAGGGGCCCCCAGCCTGTGCTGCTGGCAGCCCTGAGGGGAGAGCTGACCACCCACCCCGAAGACTGAACCGATGTTAAGGGCTCTGCTCACGGGTAGGTAAGCAGGTGCCTGACGGTTTACACAGGAGTCAGCAAATGTGTTCTGTGAAGGGCCAAAGAGTAAATATCTCCAGCTTGGCAGGCACACGGTCTGTCACAATACTCCCCTCTGCCCTGGCAGCGTGAGCGCGGCCATCGACGACTCGATGTGATTGCGTCCCAGTAACAACCCACAATCAGCAGTAGCTACGGTCAGAGGTCTCCACATCCCAGAGGCGCAGCCAGCATGACTGATCAATGCCAAGGAGTGGACAGTGGGCCACCGCACTGCTGGCCCCTCCGACCTAAGCAAGCAGGGCTGACGTGATTTCCTCACACAGAGCCGCATTCAGGGTCTTTCGCTCCAGACGACCAGCTGAGCGTGCAGCTCACCCCAGCACCCACACGGACATAGGACTGTAACTCTTCCTCCTCAGCGGCACACTCCAGAATGCTGCAGTCAATCAAATCTGCTAAACAGTCACTGCAGATGCAGTATCAAGCGCCGAACGCCTGGCAGGCAATACGATCCCCGTATTTTGGTCAGTTAATGAGACTATCATCAGAGGGGCGTGAGGAGGAAACAGAGAAAACTGAGTGACCTCGGGGAAATCAGGGGGCCATCACCCCCACCCCCCACTTCCTCCCCGTGGGACACTTACTTGACTTTCAGCAAGTTGAGGGATTTGTTGGACGATGCTGTTATCTCTCCAGTCTTGTTTCTATTGATGTAAACTGAAAAGCCATTATTTTGGAAGCCAAACTCCTTTGCAACCTGAAACGAGCCCCAACAACCAAGATTTAATAAAACAGGTATCACTACATGAGCCACATACACATTAGACTAGAAGACTCACTAGGGTTAGAAACTGCTCATCATTAACCAAATTCCTCTTGCTATTCTGCCCTTTTGATGCCACTAATTCAATAATAAAGGTCCACTGTGCCAGGCACTTGGCTAGATGCTGGGAATATTCATTCATTCATTCAACAAATACTAAGCAGTCCTATGTGCCAGGCTAATTCTGGGCGTTCAGAACACAACAGTCAATTAAAGTAAAAAGACAAGGTTCCCGGTATCGCAGATCTTACCATCAAACGCGGAGACAAAGTCGGCAAAGGCACCAAGATGGTGCCTTCACTACTGTGAAGTGGAGGAAAGCAGGTTACAAATTATCACATAAGATGTTTAGCATCTTTGAAATGCTTGCATCTTGTGATCAACAGTGTCACACAGTCCTGGCCTGCCTGGCAACAGGACTGACACCTGTACCTCTGTCTGGGCTCGAGAACACTTGCTTGTCACAGCTGGACACTGCCACCCCATCAAACAAGCCATTTAATGATCAGTCAAGGAGTAAAAAGGCTGGCTGTCAAGGCTTGCTGGTAAAGGAGACCTCTAGCACCTGCAGAAGGGGTACTGGCCATCAGGGCCCTCTTTCAACACTGCCCCTCCGGACGGTGCAGAAGACGACCCTTGGAATAAGACATGCGTACTGACAGCCAGGTCAAAACGTGGTTCAGGGCCGGACGCGATGGCTCATGCCTGTAATCCTAGCACTCTGGGAGACCCAGGCGGGAGGATCATCGCTCAAGGTCAGGAGTTCAAGACCAGCCTGAGCAAGAGTGAGATCCCGTCTCTACTAAAAATAGAAAGAAATTAGCTGTACAACTAAAAATATATAGAAAAAATTAGCCGGGCATGGTGTGCCTAGCTACTTGGGAGGCTGAGGCAGTAGGATTGCTTGAGCCCAGGAGTTTGAGGTTGCTGTGAGCTAGGCTGATGCCACGGCACTCTAGCCGGGGCAACACAGTGAGACTCTGTCTCAAAAAAAAAAAGAACGTGGTTCAGAAGGGCTGAACTCTGAATGCAACGCTACAAAGAGATCCTACCCCTTAATTTAGCTTAGATTTTCCTTCTTACCTGTGCATAAGAATATGTGATTAAAAT